TTGACATACAGACCATCCCCCAGCACAGCCAAGTGCAGACCATCTCAAACACCTGCACTCAGGCCCATGGTCCTAATCATCCTCTATACGGACCTGCTGGGTAATGTCACAAAGAACCTGAGAATGGGCTCCCACAGGACATACAGAACATCCCACAGCACAAGGCATCTCTTAAGTGTGCCAATTTCATCATGTCTAAATTGGAGTCAATGATTTTTGCCTTCCCTTCCTCCAGGTAGACTTACTTCAGATAACCTAATACTTTGTGAACCACAGGACATTATACAAATTAGTAGACATAACCCTCAAGGTTACTGTTTCAGTTTGCCATTCATGAACCATCTCTACTCCCCTCTACCACCTACCCCTCTCCTTCTCTCTTCAAACTCCATCCCCAGGGTAGGCTGGTAGCTGTTTCCTGTTTCACTGAGAAAATGGAAACAATCAGAAAAGAATTCAACAAGCTGCCACCAACACAACCACCACCCACCAACAGAGTATATCCAAACTCAGCTTTCTGGTTACCGTGAATAAATTTAGCAAAAGCCAACTCCTCCGAACGTGGCCTACATCTTTACTTTTCATATATTCACGAGTGCTTCTCTAGCAGTTCGCCTGTGCTTTGCACCATGGATTTCTCTTCCCACCAGATCCTCTTCATTAACCTCTGTCACTCTCCTCAGCCTCCAAAATCAAAACAACCCGATCTGCCTTGCTTCTGCTCTTCTGTTTTTCTCTTTTCCATTATAGCCAAACTCCTGGAAGCGTTTTCTGCAGTGGCTTGCAGTTTCCCTCCTGCTGCCGTGGCAGTGAGCTAGAGGACCTGCCCTACCCCTCCCATACTGCTCAGTCAAAAATCTCCGGCCCCGACTCTACTGCTAAATCCAATATTTAGTTCTTGCATTTTGTCTTATCTGGTCTGTGATCAGTGCTACCACAGTCCAACATTGGCTTCCAGGATATTTCATTTGGTTTCCCCGTCTCCTCACTTGCTCCTCACTACTCAATTGGTTTTGCCGGTTGTCTCTACATGATCGATCCGTGTGTGTGTGTGTGTGTGTGTGTGTGTGTGTGTGTGTGTGTGTGTGTGTAAGGGGGGGGTTGTTTGTTGAGACAGGCTCTTGCTTTGCAGTCCAGGCTGGCCTTGAACTCATGGTGATCCTGCTCCCTCAGCGCCCTGTATATCGGGATCACAGGCATTGCCACCAAACTAACCTCCTCTCTCTGACATCTCAGTGCTGAAGTGCCTGAGGTCTCAGTGTCGACCCTCTTCTCATCTGCCTTGTTCTTTCTTGGTGCTCTCACTCACCTTGTGACTCTAACTGCCATCCTGATGCCCCCCGGTGATCCCCTGATGTGTACGTCTAGCTGGACTTCTTCACCGAACTTCTGGTTTGGAAATCCATCTGCTCGTCACTGAATGAATGATCATAAACCAGAATGTCCAGTACGGAACTCCAACTCTTTCCTCACCCCAAAGTCTTCTCTTCTAGTAGAAGAGACAGTGCTTAGTTAGACCTTTATGCAGGAAATATTTATTGAGTTCCTCCTGTGACTTGGGGCCTGACACAGGGGTGTTTAGGTTCACAGAGAGCCAGGGATAGAAAGAGAAGAAACCATGCAAACGGTTGGAGTCAGCTGAAACTCCTCTTTCGTTCATGTTCCCCGCTTTATTTTCAAAATATATCAAGCCTGGCCATTTTCCCTCCCCTCCATTACCCCTGCCTGCAACAGCATTGGCCTCCTAAACGGTCTCTCTGGTCTCACTCGTTTCCCCCCACAAAGCCCATTCTTCATCTGACATTCACAGTGATTCTCTTACAGTTCAGGTTAGAACATTGTTGGTTTGCTATTCAGAATTCCTACGCGACTACTCACTCCACTCTGCACACAGCCCAAGTCCCTGCAGAGGCTTACACAGTCTTCCTCCTGTTTGCTGACCCCGCTCGCCTCAGAACTCCCCTTTACTCCACTGTATTTTAATCACCCTGGCCTGTCTTTTGTTCTTGGAATCTGTTACTACAGTGGGTTTCAGGGTGTTCTGGGTTGAGATGCCCAGGGTTTTTGTGTTCAGACAACAAACTAGATGAGACATACGGAGCAGAAATGGAAGTATAGATTTCTGAAAAGTAAGCGTGAAGGCAGAGAGGCACTCCACAGAATGAGAACAAGCTTGAGCACACATGTGGCTCAAGAGCTGGGAGATCTTTTTTAGGTTCTTTTAATGAGCTCAGTCTGGAGGAGTTGATTTCCTGGGGTGGGAAAGGGGTATATCCTTATGCTGATTGACAGATGGGCTGTTACATAACTTTGATCTGTGCCTGTGAAAGCCACGAATCCCATACTTTTAAGCATATATGCACAAGGCTATGCATGCATGAGATGGTAAATGGGGATTTTTTTTTTTTTACCCCTGACACATGGCTTCGAGGACAGACTTGTTCTTAACTGTGCTTGCTTATGCCCAATATTGATTTGATTTAAGTCAGCTTTATTTATCTCTCCTACCAAGATGTGCCTAACCCCAAATTACCCCTAAGGAGGGTAGGTGATTCTCTACCAGAAAGCTGGACACATTTTTCCCAAGGAGAGTTGCCCTTGGCTGGGTTGTCCCTGTGCTCACTGTTCTACATAGGGTGACTATTCTATATATAAAACACCATGGCCAAGCAAGGTGGGTAGGAAGGGGTTTATTTGGCTTATGCTTCCACATTACGGTTCATCATGGAAGGAAGTCAGGACAGGGACTGAAGCAAGCTATGGAGGACTGCTGCTTGCTGACTTGCTCAGCATGGTTTGCTCAGCCTGCTTTCTTATAGAACCCATGACCACTGGCCCAGGGATGACACCACCCACAATGGGCAGGGCTCTTCCACATTGATAGCTAATTAAGTAAAGGCCTTACAGTTGGATCTTATGGAGTCAGTTTTTCAACTGAAGTTCTCTCAGATGACTTTAGCTTGTGTCAAATTGACATACAACTATCCAGCACACTCACCGACCTCAAACTCACTAGGTATGCTCCTGACTCAGGGCCATTGTACTTGTACTCCTGCCCATTCATTTGTACCCTAGGAACCACCATGGTTTACTCTCTCAATTCCTTCATGTATTTACTTAATGGTGCCTTCTGAGGAAGGCTTTGAAAGGCTCCCTTATTAAAATGGAAACCTCCCTTTCCCTGTCTTGTATACATTCTTACAGTCCAGGTCCCTTCTACTTTCCTGTTGTGACAAGTCATCATCAATACTACAGCTGTCAACATCTGCATGAAAAACATTTGACTAACTTCATTTGCCAGTTTTCTCTGCTTGAATGTAAGCTCCATGTGAGCAGAGTTTCTTTTCACTGATCTGAAACAGAACATTTCTTTGTATTTTGTGTTATATCTTACATTTTATAAACCTTTCATGCAAATATCTTAACACTTTCTAGCGAATTATAAAATTATTTCAGGAAAATCTTACATCTTTTGTTTATTTGGTTCATAACCCAAATGATAATTTCTGACATGCACATTAAAAAAATGTTCCTTTAAGCTTAGAAAATTTCCACAGTTTCACTCATTTCCAGATTCCAGCTCTTGCATGAGTTCTAAGGTGCAGTGGCTTATCTCTTCTTGTGCACAAGGCTGAGAGCAGACCCAAGTCCAGTTAAGTCTGGAAGCATTGTTCTATGTAGAGTGTAGAGCCAAGGAGATTTTCTACTTGATTGAAATGGACAAATGTGTTCACTAGACCGGTCGCAGTCAGAGATAATCTGGGCAAATAGTGAACTGTGGAAATGTAGGCTTCTTAACTTACACATGTAAATTACAGCTAACAAATTCTTCTGTTCCTACTAGTTTTCACAATGGACCCATGAAAAATCATAAAATTCAACTTTGCATCAGATTAATGTTATAGTGGATGTTAAATACCTTCTCAGAAGGATCCTATTATCCCTGGCTCATGAACCATCCGCCAGTGTCTTGATTCGAAGATGGTAGCATCCGCCATGATGAGGGACCTAACATTCTGAGGCATCAAAAACCAGGGAAGTAGTTAGAATTCCTAGCCACACCCCCAGCTACATTAGTGCACTGGTAAGATGCTTAGTCACCCCAGGGCCTTACGTCCTACGTAATTCTGTGCGCTGTATGATCACATAATCTATGTGCATGCCTGGCATAGCTACATAAGCCCATATGCAACTATAAAAGCAAGTTCCACTTACCCAGATTCCTGATCATTCCCATAGGCCTATGCACACACTGTTAGGATTCTGTCCCCACTCCAGCTGCGTGACCGCACATGCGCAGTTCAGGAGTTAAGCAAAAGCTCTTGCATCTTACGTCATCAGTGTGCGCTAGTGACTACGTACATGACTTAAAAAGCCAGAGGCAGACCCCACTCCCTCCCTGCTCTGCTCCCCTCTCCCCCCACCCTACCATCTTTCTCTCTCTCCAGGCCTGACTCTCCTCACTCCCTTCTTCCCCTTTCCCTCCTAATAAAGCTCTGAAAACTCACACTGGGTTCTGTCATGACTGTGACCTTTCCACACGGTAACCAGTGCCGCCACCAGCACCGTTTATCATCCTTTCACACCTTTTCTGTTCCTTTTCTTTAATAACCTCTTGTAGTGGGTTCTGTTGTGCCTCATGGCTTCTCTCCTACGGTAAACAGTGACACTTAACAAATAACATTGCGCCACTTAATAAATAACACAAGTGGCTTGGGACTGGGGCAGAGCAAGTACTGTTTTTACTGTACTGTACTTAGAACCCTATTTGTGTTTCCATCAAATGAGTACTTTGTAACACTATCTTCTGTTTTATGTTAAGAGCTCCTTGGGGTTCTTCTTAAATCATCTCTTATCACACTGACCCTAGTCTCGTCTCCCCTCTATGCCCATTTCCTGAGGTTTTGTACAATATCTTGCACATAGCATCTGCTTTCTGTTGGATTTACAAACGAACATCTAGGTGCTACTGAAAATAAAATAAGCCAGGTCTGGTGGCACAGGACTGCAACCCCAGCTATTCAGGGGTCTAGGGCAAGAGGACGGCAAGTTAATGACCCATCTGGGCTACAGCATAAGTTCAAGGCCGGCCGGGCGGTGGTGGCGCACGCCTTTAATCCCAGCACTCGGGAGGCAGAGGCAGGAGGATCTTTGTGAGTTCGAGGCCAGCCTGGGCTACCAAGTGAGTTCCAGGAAAGGCGCAAAGCTACACGGAGAAACCCTGTCTCGAAAAAC